TCCTGTCTAAATTGGCCCTAGTATGTGTATGTATGAATGTAAGTTAGGGACTTTAGATTGTATGCCCTTGAGGGTTAGGGACTGAAGTGAATGTACAATATATATGTGAAGTTCTGCAAAAATTGACGGCGCTATATAAGTACCTGAAATAAATAAAATAATGAATAAATAAAGATTTTAGCTGTGCCATAGTCACCCAAGCAGCCCTATGGGATATTTAAACTCATATATTTATATTCAAAGTTTATGCCATTATCAGTATTATAATTAAATTCTCCCCTCTGTGTTCTTTGTTTAAAAGAAGTTAAACACAAGGTGTGAATGGATTTCCAATTTTCGCAAGTCACAATAAGAAAAAAACTGTTTATATATATATATACTGTATATATATATATATATATATATATATATACATACAGGTGTACCTCGCCTCGGTTTACCAACGCCTTGGTTAACGTAATTTTTGGTTTACAAATGAAAATCCATTGAAAATAATGCCTCGTTTTACAAATTTTTTACAAATGTTTTTGCATATATATATATATATAATGAAATGAATTGACTGCCATAACATTACATTTTAGCATGAAACATCACACATAATAACATGCATCACAAAATATGAGCCCGGCCTTAAAGCATAGGTGCACTTATCCATTTGATCCATTTTCCTGACCTAGATTGGCCCAGTCCCTACCTCCCGAGATGCCTACTTACCTTGATTCAGTGGCCACGGTCCCTGGTGTTTGTCTGTATCCTACACTGAGAATCTTCAGTGTGCTCACTGTCCCTGCACAGACACTCCCCATCGAATTTTACTGGGCGGTGTCCCTAACCAAGAAATGGTCAGGAGATGGTCAGGAGCAGCCAGAGCACCAAAGACCTTCAGGACTTTCAGTGGACGATATAGACAAAAATTGAGACCGCAGCTGTCACATTGAGGTAAGTACACATCTGGGATGGGGAGTGTGGGCTGGTTTAGGTCAGGAAACAGAGTTAAAAGGATAAGTGCTTTTATCTCTGTGTATCAGCTACGGCCAGTCACTTTACTGGGTATATGTAAGGGTTTACCACCACTTTAATATACATTATTATTAAAGTGTTACTAAACCCACAACATTAAAATCAGTCTGTATATGCAGTAAAGTATGCTGTGTTATACTCACTGTGGAACCTAAGGGGTTAATCCTCCGAATTGTGTAAAAAGGATGTTGATCCTGTCTCCTTTGATCTTCCCCTTCTTTTACTGTCCCCAATATATCTGCTGATAGAGAAGAGCCTTGGTGGCAAGATGCACATGCTCAGTTTGATGTGTATTGCTAGAGAGGTTTTTTAGGGTTTTTTCTTGCTGCATGTGCATGTGATCAGCGCAGGGCCAATCAGTGCTGTCCAGACAAAGGGTCAGGGGTTATGCAGCCTTATAGGACAATCAGGGGAGAATGAAAACTCCTCCTACAAGCTTTAACCAGTGCTTGGCTGGACACTGATAGAAGTCACAAGACTGCTATATACTACTGATGAGAAAATGTATTTAGCAGTTTATATTTGCTTTAAAAGTTGCATTTCCATGTTGTGTGTACTGTGGGAGACCAGTTATAGTGAATGCAGAGTCCTGGGTTTATTAACACTTCAAAGGACAATGTTTTTGCAGCGCAGTAGAGGTCAACTTAAAAGGCAGAATAGCTTGGATTGATACTGGATTTGTCTGACTACAACTTCAGGATGTGCCATCTACAAGGCTCATTTACTAAAGAAGTTAATAACATTCACAAAAAAGTACACAATTAGAGAAAAAAAAAACAATTAAAGAAAAAAAATCTTAAAAATCTTGTATACAATCGTGTACAGATGAAATAAACAAACAAGAACTTGCTTTTCACATGATTGGTGAATTAAAGGGAATCTTCACTTTTTTGTGTGTGTGAACATTTGCAACTCCTTTAGTAAATCAGCCTCATTGTCTCATTTAATTATGTGTGTAAAAAGTAGTGTGAGCTATGGGGGTTATGTACTAAAACTGCTTGGTGCAAAATCTGGTGCAACTCTGCGTAGAAACCAACCAGCTTCCAGGTTTAATGTTCAAAGCTTAAAGTTTTACTAAACCCACAACAGTAAAATCAGTCTGTATAGCAGTAAAGCTTGCTTGTTATACTCACTGTGGAACCTAAGGGGTTAATCCTCTACATTGTGTAAAAAGGCTGTTTGATCCTGTCTCCACTGTCCCTCCTCTTGTTGAAATGACTACCTGATACAGACTGAATCCATAGTCACATGCACATGCTCAGTTTTGTGTGTATTGCTAGAGAGGTTTTTGTTCTTCTTCTTGGGAGAGTGCATATGAACAGCACAGGGCCGATCAGCACTGTCCAGACAGAGGGTCAAAGGTTTCACATCCTCCTAGAGCAGAAAGAAAACTCCTTCTACAAGCTTTAACTAGTGCTCTACTGAAGTCACAAAACTGCTCTAACTGCTGATGAGAAAATGTATTTACCAGTTTATATTTACTAAAATAATTGCATTTCCATTTTATGTGTACTGTGGGAGACCAAGTATACTGAGTGCAGGGTCCTGGGTTTAGTAAGGCTCCATGTACACTGCAGCTGACAAACTCACATTTAGGAGCTTTTCTGTGTTTTTTTTCAGCATCCCCTGAACTCTGCCTAATGTTTTCCTATGTGTCCATGTACACACTGTCGTTTACAGTCTTTTACAGGCATTTGAGTTTACAACCGTTTTTTTAATGCACCAAACTTGGGTTTAGGAGTAGATTTTATTAGCGTTTCAAATGCCAAATACTTGTAAACGCGGCTAACCGTGTTTATAAGCATTTGGAAAAATTTTTTTTTAACTCTTCCATCTCCAGATGTTGTCTAGAGCCTTTTTTCATCATGAAAAATGCATGCAAAGCATTTTCCCGGTACTCAAATGGACCTGGTACACCATACTTTGAGGTTTTGCATGAAAGAAAATGTTAGACACTGCTGCAATAATTTCTGCACAGAAATGAGCTGGAACACATCCAAACACCACAAAAAAAGACAGCTTATCTCAAATACAGCTCTCTCTGCTTCTGCTCTCTCTATTTCTCTCAAAATGTCTGAAATAGTTAATTTTTTACTGTTTTTCAGTGCATTCTGGGCATTTGGGAGGTTCTCCTGAGGTTATCTTTAAAAAACGCTTCTAAACGCAAACGCACATAAACGCGGTATGCAAACGTGGCTAAACAGACGTTTTTTTAACCTACATTTTCCAGCAGTCAGTTTCCATCGTTCAGAAGTGTCCCGTGTACATGGAGCCTAACACTTTAAATGAACAAGCTGAAGTTAGAAGCTGTCTGGCTACTGTGTACAGCTGCACCAGTTTTAGTAAATCCCCCCTGATGCATATATACAAAAACACTATAAACTCCCTGCAAAAAAACAAAAAACAAAAAAAAAATTGAAATCAAATACAATTGAAGAAATATGTTTGTCTACAGGATCATATCTGGAACGATAGCGAAACGTACTGCAAAAGGAACCCCAGGGTGCTTAATATTATTATTATTAGGGCAGCACAGTGGCTAAATGGTTAGCACTTCTGCCTGGCAGTACTAGTGTTGTTGGTTCTTATCCCAGCCATGGCACAACCTGCCTGGAGTTTGCATGCTCTCCTTGTGCCTGCGTTGGTTTCCTCCGGGTACTCCAGTTTCCTCCCACACTCCAAAGACATGCTGTTAGGTGAATTGGCTCCTGTCTAAATTGTCCCTAGTATGTGTATGTATGAATGTGAGTTAGGGACCTTAGATTGTACACCCCTTGAGGGTTAGGGACTGATGTGAATGTACAATATATATATGCGTAAAGCACTACGTAAATTGACAGCGCTATATAAGTACCTGTAATAAATAATAATCATTATTATTATTATACAGGATTTATATAGCGCCAACAAATTGCTCAGCGCTTTACAATATAACGGAAGACAATACAGCAACAATACAGTTCAATACAAGAGGGATAGGAGGCCCTGCTCCTTGGAGCTTACAGTCTAGGATGTTATATTGTAAAGCGCTGAGCACACTGTCAGCGCTATATAAATCCTGTATTATAATAATAATAATAACAACAATAACAGGAGACAATACAGTTCAATACAAGAGGGTTAGAAGGGCCCTGCTCCTTGGAGCTTACAATCTAGGATGTTATATTGTAAAGCGCTGAGCAAACTGTTGGCACTATATAAATCCTGTATAATATAATAATAATAACGGGAGACAATACCGCAACAATACAGTTCAATACAAGAGGGTTAGGAGGGCCCTGCACCTTGGAGCTTACAATCTAGGATGTTATATTGCAAAGCGCTGAGCAAACTGTTGGCGCTATATAAATCCTGTATAATAACAATAATAATAATAATAATAACAATAACAGGAGACAATACAGTTCAATACAAGAGGGTTAGGAGGGCCCTGCTCCTTGGAGCTTACAATCTAAGAGAAGAAGACTTGGGGCAGATGCCAAGGTTTAGCAATGCCTTTCCGACAACATTTACATAAGTGTGACAATATTTGGTTTATTGTTCATATAATAAATTGGTTCGTGGATTATGTTTTGAATTAAATGTAACGAGTGCATTTTTTTTTTTTTAATCTGCATTTTCAGAATTACAGGGGTGCGAGAACCCCAAAGAAAAGGCAGCCAGCTCCCCATTGTGTGGTGTAAAGCTGCAGAATGAGAAGTAAGGTCAGCTGGTGTATGGAGGGGGGGGGGACAGGACAAGATGATAGTGGGAGGGGGGTTGGGCGGCTATGATTTATGTGAGAATGAGATGCTGGCATGACAGGTACAGTCAGAGGAATGTTATTCTAGAGGAGCTTCATCCACCCTGGATGTGCCTGGATTGGTGCAAGCACTTTCCAGAGGTCATGCAAGTCTTGGGGCTGCTCTCCTCCCCCTCTAGTCCTGCTTGAGAATGTGTGTGTGTGTGTGAGATGACTGCTAAGAGCAGAGGGACGGATGGCGGATCTCACACACTCCAACTACAACAGCAGGCAGCCTGGGATGTTCTCTTTGCCTTCCTTTGGCTGCAGGGAGAGCTCTGTACTGCCTGGCACTGGAAGAGGCGACAAACAGAAGAAGAAATCCTTCTATTTAGTCAGGATGAAGCCTCTGAAAGAGCCCACCAACAACAATGTGTCCTTTGTCATCCACTGTCACATAGGGAAGGAGATCAAGCACATTTGCAGCAACTGCAGTCGCGGAGAAGAAGCTCGAGAGGGTGAGTAAAAGGGACGTGTGTTGGTTGTGTGTGCAGTTTGGTCTGCATTGTCTTCCTTATGACGGTCTTCTTCTCCCGAAGCCGGTGCTCCGGGGAGCCTGGTAGACGTAGCATCAGGGCGGACGCCACCGATGCTGCCTATGCAGTAGAGCAAGGGTAGGCAACCTTCAGCACTCCAGCTGTTGTGGAACTACTGGTCCCATGAAGCATTGCAAGACTCTGAAGGCCACCGGCATGACTCCCCATGGCATAGGCATGATGGGATTTCTAGTTTCACCACAGTAGACCAAAGCTGTGTACGTGTATGTAACATAATAGGGTTACATTGTGTGCAGGTAAGGCACGCATGTCCCGAGTTCTTTATATGTGATTCCTAGATGGCACCTGGGTTAGCCAGTGCCTACATACAGGGCCCCTACCCTATGATGGACTATGATTCCTAGATGGCACCTGGGTTAGCCAGTGCCTACATACAGGGCCTCTACCCTATGATGGACTAGCTGTCACCTGAAGACCCTGTCACTACTGGTGGCCACCCTGGCGGCCAAAGAGAGAACATCAGATAAAGCCTTCACTTCCATAGCATGGCACAATGGAGTTTGTAGCTGCTCCGTGTGTCGCGCTGCCACCCACAATCATGGTAGTTGTCATTTGTGTGGAAGGCTAATGCATTGCCATTGTTATTGCTGGTGTGAAGGGAGGGGATTGCCCTGGGGATGTGAGTTTTGAAGGTCAGAGGGAGGAGTGGTGTCTCTGGGGGTACACCTCTCTATAGTGTGCGAGTTCATGTCATCACCTGCCTCCCATTGAATCAAGTGGATGATGGATACCATTCAGAATTGCCACAATGAGCAGTGAAAGCTACAAAATAACCATTGATTTCTGACAAAGCAACATCCCGAAGGCTTCAGTTCCTCCGCAGAGTTGTGCAGGAACTGCAGTGTAGTCTGGTTTGGTCCAGCAGGTATTCCCATGTGGTGGATCCCCTCATTAGAAAGGTGAGAAGGCACAGCGGTGGATGGCAATCATACACAAGCCACCGGCTAATCAGTTGCGCAGTATGCTGATCATTACCGAAGTGTAAGGATTCAAATGCCTATGACAGCCAGCTCTCAGGAAATCAAGTAAAAATTTACAGAGCAACAACCAGTAAGTGTGCGTAGTCTTTAAAAAAAACAATTCCTCTGCCCCTGGAAGGCATATACTAGAAGGTATTTTTGCTAGGTTCATTGACAACACAGAAAGGGACTGAGTAAATACGAGCTTCTAGCATATGCACTTTGCCATTGATGCTGTGTGTGCAGCCTTTACAGGTGGTGAAGCTGATAGAGACGCAGGAGAGATCTTGGAAAATAAAGGGAATCATATCTTTTTTTTATTTTTATTACATTTTCATATACTAGTCTCACAAATGGTTTGTATGGTTTACAGGCAGAATTGGTACCTTCTCTTCACATAAACAGAAAACAAAAATATTTAAATAATAGAATAATATCCATTGTAATGCCTTCAATGCTGATAGCTAGAAGCCATTTGCATAACATTTAGAAATGGTATTTGTTATCCAATTCACCGTATCAAAGAGAAGAGATCACAGTCGGGGGGGGGGGGGGGGAATAGTGATAGGCAGAACACTGAAAATGCTTGTGTTGAAAACATTAAACATATATTTATTATTAATTTATTTCAGGTACTTATATAGTGCCGTCAATTCATGCAGCTCTTTACATATATATTGTACATTCACATCAGTCCCTAACCTCAAGCTGTGTACAATCTAAGGTCCCTAACTTACATTCATACATACACATGCTAGGGCCAATTTTAGACAGGAGCCAATTCATCTACCAGCATGTCTTTGGAGTGTGGGAGGAAACCAGAGTATCTGGAGGAAACCCACGCAGGCAAAGGGAAAGCATGCAAACTCCAGGTAGGTGGTGCCGTGGTTGGGATTTGAACCAACGACCCTAGTGCCGCCAGGCGGAAGTGCTAACCATTTAACCTCTGTGCTGCCCTGAATATATATATATATATATATATATAATTATTATTATACAGGATTTATATAGCACCAACAGTTTGCTCAGCGCTTTACAATATAAAGGGAGACAATACAGCACCAATGCAGTTCAATACAAGAGGCCTGCTCCTTGGAGTTTACAGTCTAAGTGATTATATATATGTATGGGCTTTTTAGGATTAGTGTAGATGTTACAGTGGGTCAGGGATCATGCAGCCTCATAGGACAGTCAGGGGCGAATGAAAACTCCTCCTACAAGATTAACCAGTGCTCAGCCGGACACTGATAGATGTCGCAAGACTGCTAAATCCTGCTGATGAGAAAATATATTTAGCAGTTTATATTTACTAAAATAATTTGCATGCACTGTGTACTGTGGGAGACCAGATATAGTGAATGCAGAGTCCTGGGTTTAGTAACACTTTGAAGCTGAACCACTGGCAGGTATAAAACACATAAATTGTTGCAGTTCTGTATTCAATAAATGCATTTTTAAATGCAAGCAGTGTTAGTCTCTGAATCGATTGCTATCAGCTTCCTGTAATCCCCTGTATATCAGAGCTAAGACTATGGGAGGGAGAAACCAATCAGTTGCGCTGAAGTGCTTATGTGCCAACAAGGAACACGCTGAGAGGAGTAGAAATCAGAATGACAGGTATATAAGCTCATCAGTCTGCTGCTTCACTTTTTACTGTCCAGTCACAGCCTGAGAAAATGGGGGACAAGAACTACAGGAATTATATAAAGTGGAAATTGCACTGATGGGCACTGATAGACTTCAGTGATGGGCACTGATAGACAGCACTGATGGGCACTGATGAGGTGGCACTGATGAGGCGACACTGGTGGGCATTGATGAGGAAGCACTGATAAGGCTGCACTGATGAGCACTAATAGTTAGCACTGAAAGGTACTAATAGGCAGCACTGACTGGTTGCACTGATAGGTGGCAGTGACCGGTGGCACTGATGGGCACAGATTGGCAGTACTTACAGGCACAGATTGGCAGCACTGATGGGCACTTTTGGGGCTGCACTGATAATCAGGGCACTAATTATGTCTCCTTTCAGACTTGCTGGTTTTAAAGTAGATAACAATGGGATCTCCTGCCCTGCCAAACAGGGCTGTGCTTCGTGGTAGAGCTGGATAAATGTCAGGACTGGATAAACAGAAATACGAATCCTTTGGCAGGTAAAATAGCCCCCATTATGCATATTTTATCTGTGTTTTTAGCTATTTACCTAGAGTTTGTCACTGTGGCACAATAGCAAACATTTTAGTACTCTTACATACGGTATAGCTTGTAACACTTAAAAACTTGTATTAAAGGAAATATGTAATGAAATAGGAAGGCTGTCATTTCTGGTCCTCTGGATAAACTAGTTTCCTTGCCGGCTCAGGTGTTTCTTCTTCAGAGACACTAGAGTTGATTACTAAACTGTTCACTTTGTAAGGGAAATTGCACTTGCAATGACAGGGATGTGCAATTCCTATAGCCCGATGCCCTGGACATGCAGTTTCGGACTCCGGGCAAGAGGTTTTCTATATATTTAGCCCTGCTGCGGGTAAGCAGCAGGGTTTAGAGCTGACAGTTGGCTCTCTTGTAAAAGAAATCTGAGTGGCTAAATAGCCATTGGATCGCTTTTGCAAGCAGCGGAATGGGACATCTCCCCTTCCGTGGGCTGTCTCATCGCACCAGAACAACCATCTGGCGCTTCCACACGCTGATCATAAAGGCAGACAAAGACTGGAACCGCTCTGTTCGCCTGTATGATATAGAAAACAGGAAGCGATGAGCATACATAACTTATGATTTCTCCTATGTAAATGGCACCATTTTTAACAATGGAAAGCTTTTGATCACAACGATTTAAGGGTAGAGGAGGGATCTGGGGTTTTATTGACAACAGATCGCTCAATAAAGAGCACCTGTCACTGCCTATGGGCTGTCACAAGGGATGTTTACATTCTTTGTGACAGCAATAAAAGTGATAAAAAAAAAAATTAAAGCGACAGTGTTAAAATAATAAAAATGTACCGTAAATTTTTTTTTCACGCACCCCCATCCCCGCTCACAAAGGCGAACACACGCGTCGACTCCTGCACACACACAAACAGCAATCTGCCCACACATGATGTATCTCTGAGAATGTCAGATCATGGGCAGTAATTCTAGCACCAGACCTTCTCTGTAAATCCGGTGGTAATCTGTAAAGGCTATGAAAAAGTTGCGTATGGATAGTAAAATTTAGTTTAGTATTTTTTTTTTTTTGCAGTAAAATTCAAGAGTGTATTTTTTTTTTAAATTCAGTTTAAATAAATGCAAAGTGCAAATACTGCGTTACATAAAAAAAAAAATAGCAAAACCCACCAATTTATTCTCTAGGGCCTCTGCTTTAAAAAAAAAAAATATATATATATATGTTTGAGGGTTCTAAGAAATTTTCTATCAGTTTAAGTTGCCGTTAAAGCCCCTTTCATTTCTAAAAGCACTTCTGCCTAATAAAAAACATCAACCCTTCTATCCTAGCAAAATATTTTTTTTTTTATCAGGACAAGTAGATTGTCATGAGGGACAAAGTAGATTGGATCCCCAGTTTAGTCCATTGGACAAGTAGCTCCTTTTTTAAAAACGTTTCACACCCTGAATCGAATTCAATCCAGAGTTTAGTAAAATTAGTGTGAAGTTCTGTTGATTTCCATTCAAGCAAGGAAAAAATGCTGTTTTTTATTTTCCTTGATGTGACTAGGTATCCTTTGACAAGGAAACTTCACCACATTCAAAATATATTGATAAGATAGAACGAGTCTAGAGATGGTCAATCATAATGGTGTGAAAGGTGCCTGAGGGATATTATAAACATATCATGGAGAGGCTTCAGGGAAACGTAATATGTACAGTCTGGAGGAAAAAAGCGGACGGGGACTATATTACTGTAATGTTAATGTAAATATCGTGAAGAGTGTGAATAAGAGGGCA